CTACAAATTTTTTTTTAATTTTTATTTTATTCATATATGCATACAATGTTTGGGTCATTTCTCCCCCCTTCCTCCCACCCCTTCCCAGGCTATAAAAATTAAGTGATTAAAAATTCAGTTTCTCAGGCATCCTAGCCATGGTTCAAGTGCTCAACAGCCACACGTGGCTGAACGAATACTGGAATTGGGCAGCACAGACAGATGTCATTTCCAGGATCACAGCAAGTTCTACTAGACAGCATAGCCTTAGACCACTAGATGAAAAGGCTTCCTCACCATCGGCAGCAGCCTCCCTTTCAAGGCTCACTTTTGTCACTCTTCCAAACCCCCATACTCAAAGCTTCCATCACAACTATGTGTCACCTCCCAACAACCTCCATCTTCACTCTTCTACCATGGAATACACTTTCCCCTTCTAGGCACCTAGATATTCTATGAATCCATAACAACCATTAAAGTCTAGACCAAATGGTATTCTTCTATAAAGCTTTCCCCAGGTTCCCATCTTTCTCTTGCTCCTACTGTCCTTCATTTACACTTCCATTTCAGCACAGAGCCCTCTGACTACAATTCATTGTATATCTTATCTATCTCCTCACAAGAAAACCAGATCCTTGAAGTCAGGGATTCTGTTACGCATTTGATGATTCCCAGAGCCTAGCAACAGCCTGTTAGACTTTGGTAAATGTCCATTCTTTGAATCCTACAGAATTCTACCAGAAGGAGTAACAGAAACTCAAGGTGCTGGTTCTAGATAAATGCTCACTTTGGGATGTCAGACAAAGAGAATGAGACAATGGGGACCAGATTCTGGAAGCCTTACATCCCACTATTTTATAAGAACGAATGATGATGATTGCCCAAAATTCTATTAGTAAGAAAGGGAGTGGAACTTATAATCCTAGTAGTCAGAAGGCTGAAGCAGGAGGATTCTGAGTTCGAGGCCAGACTGAGTTATGTAGTAAGGTCCTGCCAAAAAAAAAAAAAAAAAAGCCAGGCACCAGTGGCTCACATCTATAATCCTAGCTACTCAAGAGGCAGAAATCAGGAAGATTGTGGTTCGAAGCCAGCCCAGGTGAACAGTTGGCGAGAAACCCATCTCAAAAAGAAACCTATCACAAAAAGGGCTAATGGAGTGGCTCAAGGAGAAGTCCCTGAGTTCAAGCTCCAGTACTGAAAAACAAAACAAAACAAAAACCAGAATGGTATTTCCAGACTAAACACTGGTGACTAAAGGTGGTGTACAACTAAGGGATATTGTGGAAAAACTAGCAGAACAGGGGCCCTACCCAACTTGAAGTTTTAAGATTGGCAGAGAAAAGGTAAAGACAATCTTGCTGGGCACTAGTGACTCATGCCTGTAATCCTAGCTATCTCTGAGGCTGAGATCAGGAGGATTAAGGTTTGAGCCCAGTTGGGGCAAATACTTCACGGGACCCCACATTCAAAACAACCAGAACAAAAAAAGAAAAAAAATATATGGACTGGAGGTGTATCAACTGGTAGAGCAACTGTTTGGCAAGCACTTGCTTTCTAAGAGCGAAGACCTTTGCAAGTGCAAAGACCTGAGTTTAAACCACAGTCCTACAATTATTTTTAAAAAAGACTACATCTCTACAGATTTGTGCCCAGACCATTGACTGTGTCACCTTACAGAAAAAGACATTTCTATAAGTTTATTTTAAGTAAGTCAAATATTCTGGTTGAATCTAAACATTAGAATAAAAGCAACTCTGTTATCTCCATCATAATTTAACTAGAGGAAATACATCCCAAGGCCTTCCTGTCTGGAAACTCTGCTGCTCTTTTTATTCTCTGCAGATTCAAGGAATCACATCTGTGAGTCAGAGTGACCTATGGGACAGTTAAATCTTAGTTCCTAATTGCAGGAGTGAGCTAGGTTGACGAACTTTCTAGCCTGCATGGCAAGAAATGGCTGTTCTAGTGCAGAGCAAGCCGCCTATAAATATCATATACTTCAGATATTAAATGTATGTAAAAAAGATTATATTTAATAGATGCATTTCAGAAAGGCAAATGCAAGATGGTACCCATACCATTTTCCATACAGAATGAGTTCAACAAGTCCTCCTCAATTCAAAGTGAGTCAAAAGTCACTGTTGAAATAAGATCAGTGAGTGCCTGAAGTACATTCTATGCCAAATGATCTCTGGATTTTTTTTTTCCTTACTGATGTGTACAAGCCAAAAACAAAAACAAACAAACAAAAAAACCCTAAAATGATTAAATTGTAATAGACTCAGAGTTAATTATTATATGGTTACTTCCATCCCTAAGGTTAAAAATCAAAACACAAATCTCACCATCTGTATTTACTAGTATTCTTGGACAGAAAGAGACAAGGATGTGAAGGGTAAGATGGGGGTGTCCAGGCGAGGATACGTAGAGGGTTAGGAAGAGGGAGATGGCTCATTACAGTAACCATGTACTAGCTGATGGTTAGTGCCAGCACCCATCCAAACGGAACAAAGTATAAAAGCCACTCTGTCCCCAAAATAAGTATTAGAATGCCAGAAATATGATAAGCAGCTTGTGATTGGCAAACTGCAATTACTGCATGACACTAAAGATTCTCTTCTACATCTCACCACTTTCCAGGGTCCAGGACCTGCCAGGAACAACCACCTTCCATTCTTTTCCTTGCTGATAGTTCCTGATTATCAGCCAGCCCTCCTCCAAAGGCTCTACATTCCTCAATCAACCTTCTAGCAAGGTTATTTAATGGTTACTGGGAACAATCTTTTAAGGTACTACAGAAATAGACATGTGCAAAACAAAAAGTAAGTTCATTCTATATTTTGTTCTGTCAATACCTATACTTAACTGGGCACCAGTGGCTCATGCCTATAATCCTAGCTACTCAGGAGGATCATAGTTCGAAGCCAGCCTGGGCAAATAGTTTCGTGAGACCCTATCTCGAAAAACCCTTCACAAAAATGGGGCTGGTGGAGTAGCTCAAGGTGAAGGCCCTGAGTTCAAGCCCCAGTATCACACACACACACACACACACACACACACACACACAAAACCTATACTTAATTTTACCAACTTGAGAGTTATAACCTTTCTAGTAAAGAAAATTTGTCTCTCCTGCCAGCTTACAATTTTAACTGGGAAAACAAAGAACCCAAACAGAAGCTAAAACTGAAGGGTCTCAGTTCTAGAATAGAGAGTATCCACTTGACCACAAAGCAAGCTCTGCTTCTCTTCACATGTCATTTCCAATATGCATAAATATATTCTTGAGAAAAAAATTAAATTCTTCAACAGATAAACTGAAAACAAATTGTGGCATATATACACAATGGGACATTATCCAGCCATAAAAAAGAAATGTAGTTCTGGTACATGCTATAATGTGGATGAACCTTGAAAACATACTAAGTGAAAGAAGACCTCTTATTATAGAATTTCACTTATATGAAATATTCAGAATAGGTAAATCCATAGAAATAGAATGCAGATTGGTGTTTGCCACAGAGTAGGGGAAGCAGAGATAGGGAGTAAGTAAGTGGTTAATGGGGACTGAGTTTTCTTTAGGGTGAAAATGTTTTGGAACTAGATATTAGTGGTGGTTGTGCAACACTGTGAATGTACTAAAATTGTTCATTTTAAAATTGTTGATTCTGTTATGTGAATCTCAACTCACTTAAAAAAAAAAAAATGAAGCTGGGCATGGTATTGCATGCCTGTGATCCAAACACTTTAATTCTCAGTCACAGGTGGCAGAGGCAGGAAGTTCTCAAGTTTGAGGCCAGCCAAAAAAAATTAACCAAGTCCTAGCACTCGGGAGGCTGAGGCATGAGAATCACCAACTTGAGGGCAGCATGGGCTACATGGCAAGACCCTGTCTCAAAAAAAAACAAAATAACAACATAATCAATTTCTTTAAAGCTGAGGATACTAGTGGGCAAAATAAGATGCCCATATGAAAAGGCATCTTATTAAACTCCTAGGGAAAAGATAAGTATTTGTGCTTGCACTGTTTCAGCTCTTGATCACAACATGAAGTTCAAGTGCTAAACTGTACAGACTTTGCCACAATGCAGTTTGTCTGTGTACGTGAAATCCCTTCTGAAAGACAGTGAAGACTACACAAAGCAAAGAAAATAAAATGGCAAACGCTTTGCCAAATTTAAAGGAGGAGGGGTGATTCCCCCTACTGCACCCCACCCAATTTGGCACCAAGAGTAACGCTCCCATTAGGGTTTCGAAATGCCAGTCGGGGCTGGAATCAGCACCAGCAAGCTTCTCTGCCTGAGTAAAGAGCAAGTCACCAGACAAGAAAAGCTGGGGTGCTCTGCTTGTTGCCCATACTGGCATTAGAACCACCCTTAGCTCAAAAGCTCTGTGCTGGCTCAGATCAGCATTATCTCTGATCATCTCTCCCAGGCCAGCCAGCCCAACACCAAGGGCTTCTTACAGCTCCTGTGCCGCTCCTCCTGGGGGTCCCACCCTACCTTATCGCACCTCTCTAAGAATCCTGCCGAACAACATGCCACCAAGGTACCATGGCTTACACCATTCGAAATGGAACTTTCCCTTGTCCAGCCTGAAATAAATATCCTCTCAGGCCCTCCTCCCTCTCAGGCCAGTTCAGCAGCCTGTGTATTCCTAAACATACAGACTTGCACACAGCCTCACCTGCCTTATAGGGGTGAAGAGGGGGGCTCGAATGAGCCCCACCCCACCCCTCTGCGAAAACCAGTATCAAGAAACAGCACACCTACCATGCCTGCCGTATCAATGGCCCCTCAGCCGCTTGGCACCGTGCCTCTGCCCCCTCCCTGACACCAAAACCGTCACAGGTGTGCCTGGACTAAACACTGACACCCCCTTAGCTGCTCTCCACGCCAGACACGGGCGCCCCTCTCAGGACCCCTCAATTCCTGGCAGCAAAACTCCTTAAGACTCCCTCCAGCCCGGCCTCGACGACCCCCAGGCTCCTAGCCTGACCCGGACGCCCCCTCCCCCCTTACCTGCGGGGGTTCAGCCATGACTGACAGGGGGCTGGGCAGCGCCTGGAGGAGCAGGAGCGCCATGCCACCCAGGAGCCTTCTCCTCTCCATCCCCCTCCTGCTCCTGCTCCTCCGCCACGGCGCCGCCACCTCCCTCCTCCTCCCTCTCTTCTTCCTCTTCTTCCTTCTTCCCTTCTCTTCCTGTTTCACTCTACCCTCCCGCTTCCGGCTCTGCTCCGCCCCGCCCCAGGCAAAACACCCTCCCAGACACAGGGGGAGGATCTCCAGTTCCAGCGCCTCATTGGCTCCTAACCCTTCGCCCACGGATCAAAATTGTTGTCTATCAAATTCAAGTCCCACCCCCATGAGCTGCTCAGCCAATGAAAAGTAGGAGGAAGCCGGGCCATCTTGAGTGCTGCGAACTGATGTAAAATGCGTTCAGACCCGCAGAGAGTGGCGGAAGTAGAGTCGACTGGGGGGGGCAAGACCCTCCAGAAGATGTATTGAAAAGTCCTCTTCGCATACGGCCATTTTGAGTGTGGCGGAAGTTTTAGGTTTCTATAGTTCAACAAATAAATGAGAAGAGATGTAATGATTGTAAAGGGTGTTTGAAAATAAGTGTTTTTTTCCAGATGGTAACCAAGCAATCCTAAAGAGGAAAAACAATTGCAATCTAAAAATCTTTGATGTCTTTTGTTTTGAAGCACAGACCCATTATCAGGGTTCCTTTGCCAATCTCAAACTACTCAAGCAGCATTTTAGGTCCTTTTGTATTCCCTATTACACAGTATTTTGACTGAAGCATGGTGCTTTGTCAACCCAAGTTTTAGGGACAAAATTCTAATGACTGTACTTCAGAAATGGCTGTGAAATTCACCTCTCATTTCTTTAACCCATGTTCTTATCTTCTGGCTAAAGACAAATGACCTCCCTGATAGCCTGCAGACTAACCAATTCTTCTCTATCAAATTCCCTCCACACACCACAGCAACATTGCTGTACCATATAAATCCAAACATTATGTGATGGCTTTCTCTTTTAAAACACTTCAACTGCTTACAAGATATTATCATTCAAGTTTCTCAATATGGTCCTTCCTGTGATCTGATCCCCACCTTCTTCATCCCATCTCCTGCCACACATGCCACAATGAACACTTAAGAGATACCAACTTCTTTACACGTTGCACATCCAGTTCCCTGTTTACAAATTCCAAGCTCTCATCCTTGTTTCTTCTGGGTTCACACAACCTCACACACTGTATAGAATCTGCCTACCTGGTTTGTAGATTTTTCTATGGCACACCAAGGCACTGTCATTGTCCTCCTCCTCCTCCTTTTTTAAATCTCTACAACATCCTATACAGGTCTGAACCATGAGCTCAATCAATATTGGTAAAGTAATTGAACATGCATAGCATGCATGAGGCCCTGGGTTCAACCTCCAGCATCAAAACATAAATAAACAAATAAATAAATAAAGAGGGGTTGGGGATATGGTTAGTGGTGGAGCGCTTACCTAACATGTATGAGGTCCTGGGTTCTACCCCAAGCACCACAAAAACAAATATATCCTAGCTACTCGGGAGACAGAAATTGGGAGAATCACCATTCAAGGCCAGCCTGGGGAAAAAAGTTCAAAAGATCCCATCTCAAGCAATAAAACATGAATATGGTGGCATGCATCTGTCATCCCAGCTACACAGGAATGGAAGCACAAATGGGAGTGCAGGATAAGTAATGGGGAGTCGGGGAATGAAGGAGATTGATGGAGGGGTTGAATTCAACTATGATATTTTAAGAATTTTTGTACATATCATGATGTACCCCCAATACAACAATATGATAATTTTTTGATAAAAGTAAATAAATGAAGACCCCTGGCAAAGAACTCAGCTGAGTATTTTACAGGCTGACGCAGTCTAGCCCCCAGCTAAGCCCAGAGAGTAGCTCTCTCCTTAAAATGTTGGTAAAATGTGCCAGGAGCCAGTGGCTTACACCTCTAATCCTAACTACTTGGGAGGATGAGATCAGGAGGATTGAGTTTCCAGGCCAGCTTGCAGAAATAGTTTCCAAGACCCCATCTCCAAAATAACCAGAGCAAAATGGGCTTGAGGTGTGGCTCAAGCGGTAGAGCACCTGTTTTGCCAGCAGGAAGCCTTGAATTCATACCCTAAACCCACCAAAAACAAAACAAAATGTTGGCAAAATGAGAAACAGGTAAGAGTGAAGAAACCAGTTTTGTCCCAGCTTCACAATACCCATGGTTCTGCTTCTTATGTTTTTTTTTCCTTAAGTGTCTTTTTTTTTTTTTCTTGAGATGGAGTCTTTCCATTGTTGCCCAGACTGGCCCCAAACTCCTGGTTTCAAACAATCCTCCTGCCCCCACCTCTTAAATAGCTGGAACAAGCACAAAAAACCATGCCTGGCTCTGCCTCTATCTTGACTCCACTTTCTCAAGTGCTACAAAACCTGACAAGCATTTTTCCCAACCTCTAATTTCTTAGAAATTCAATCATCTCTCAAATCAAGCTCCTGAAGAGGAATTAAAGCTTGAGTACTGGGCCAGGGGCAAATTAATTTCCTGACACAGGGTCTTCCCAATTCTGGCCCCCAGGAGCCCTAAGAATTTCATATAAAGGCTTGGTAGCATCATTAGGAGATTCCAGTTCAGCCTGGCAAATGCAGGGGATTCTGTTCTATCTTTTTACCTGAGAGCAAAAAGACAAATACAAAACCCTTCATAATCTGGATTAGCATTTCCCACACTAAAGTCTTTTAGTCACCCTAAGTACCTTTTAACAACCCACAGGATACAAGTCAAAGAAGGCAGAGATGGTACAGAACCAGGCTGAGAAGCAATCTAAGGAAATGCCTGGAGCCAGATGTGGTGGCACATGTCTGTAATCCCAGCTATTCTGGAGGTGGAGATCAAGAGGATCACAGTTTGAGGCCAGCCAGGGTAAAAAGTTGGTGAGATCCTATTTCAACAAATAAGCTGGTGCAGTGGTATGTACCTATAATCCCAGCTACACAGGAGGTATAAGCAGAAAGATCTTGGTCTGATGTCAGCCTCAGGAAAAAATGCAAGACCCTGTGTGTGTGTGTGTGTCCTAAAACAAAACAGGGCTGGAGGTATGGCTCAAGTGGCAGACCACCTTCCTAGCAAGCGTGAGGCACTGAGTTCAAATACCAGTAAAAAGCTGGGTGCTGGTGGCTCACACCTGTAATCCTACTACTCAGGAGGCAGAGATAAGGAGGATTGTGGTTCAAATAGTTCATGAGACCCTATCTCAAAAAGCTCCTTACAGAAAAAGGGCTGGTGGAATGGCTCAAGGTGTAGGCCCTGAGTTCAAACTCCAGTACTACAAAAAAAAAAAAAAAAAACCCAGTAAAAGGCCTGCCTAGCAGGCTTGAGGCCCTAATTTCAAACCTCACTACTGCCAAAGAAATAATAATAACTGAAGTGCCCTTTGGACTGGGGGTGGTAGAGCACTTGCCTAGCATGCACAAGGCCCTGAGTCCCATCCCAACACTTCAAAGATAAATAAATGAAAGACCCCTGAGTACTGAAGCCACCACCTATTCTTGACTTTTCAAGAGTGATTGTCTATGAAGAGAAGAGGCGTGCATGCCAGAAGGCTTGAGAAGCTGGAAAGCCAAGGGAAAGGCTGTTGGTCTTGAAATAGTATCAGTGAGGAGCTGTTCCTGATTCTGGCTAGCTTTGATAATGTTACTTTTTCCTGTTTGCCTTTGGAAATGGGTAAAGCTAAAACCAGGCAGCCCATCTTAAGGAAGCTCACTCAAAGACGTTACTATGCAGACAACAGCTAAAATCAAATTGCCATGTTATGATACGGGTGAACATTATCCTCATTAAGTGCAAGAAATCAGAAACAGAAGGCCCCATTGTATGATGCCATTTACACAAATTGCCTAAAATAGGTCAGTCTGGAGACTAGCAGGTAGTGCGTGTCTATAATCCCAGCACTTGGAAAGCTGAGGCAGGATTAGGAAATTGAGTTCAGTCTGGATCACATAGTGAAACCCTGTATCAAACCAAACAAAAATAGACAAGGGGTTGTGAGGGGGTAGGGGAAATGGGGAGTGACTGCTAATGGGTTTGGAGTTTCTTTTGGGAGGTAATGAAAATGTTCTAGAATTACAATGGTAAGGAGTCCACACTTCGGGACTAAAAACACACTGAATTGTACACTTTAAAAAAGGACTACACTTGTAGTCCCAGCACTCAGGAGGCTGAGTGCTGAATTTGAGGCTAACCTGAGCTACAGAGCAAGACTTTGTTTCCAAATAAGGAGTGAATTTTATAGGTGAATTATATTTTACTTTTTTTGTGTGTGATATTGGAGCTCAAACTCAGGGCTTCATGTATGCTAGTCAAACACTAAACCACTGAGCTACATCCCCAGCCCTGTATACCTTTTTTGCATTCACTTTTGGGATTTGAACTCAGGGCTTCACACTTGCTAGGCAGGTGCTCTGCCACTTGAGCCACTCCACCAGCCCCTTTTTGTGTTGGCCTTTTTTGAGATAGGGCTTCACAAACTATTTACCTGGGCTGGCTTCAAACTGTGATCTTCCTAATCACTGTCTCCTGAGTAGCAAGGATTATAGACGTGAGCCACCAGCGCCCAGCTGCCTGGCTTACTCTTTTTAAGTGTGGAGAAACAAATTACAGCTGGGAATCTCAGCATCAGAAAGGCGGTCCTTTCCCTTTAGAGCAGTAGCTCTCCGAATCTGGAAGACTAGCAGAATCAGCAGCACCGGAGATTACTAGACATGCCCGTTCTCAGGCTCCACCCCAGACCTCAGAATTGGAAACTGGAGATGGCCTCTGTGATCTGTGCCTTTGTGAAAACAAAAACAGCCTGCCAGGTGAACAGTTATGCCCATTTTTAAGAGCCACTGCTCTAGAGTGTGGAGTGCCAGGGCCAGACAGTAAATATTAGACTTTGCATGCTGCATATATTGGTCTCTCACATAGACTTGTTCTTTTTCCCCAAAAAAATCTTTATAAATGTTCCCAAGAGGACAAAAAACAGGTAGCAGGTAGGTTTGGCCCTCTGTGTCATGGCTCACCAACCCCTAGGACAACAAGGCTTCCATCCTGGGAGATCTCTAGAGCTTCCAGCAGACAGGTGGGTTCTTTCCCTTTAATTAGGAGAATAAACAATGGTCTCCAGGCATCAGACAGGTCCGATGCCTTGTCCCCCTTAAGTTATGACATCCTTTGACATGCCAAGGACCAATAAGACCAGGTTCTGTTTCCCACCAGGTTTTATCATCTCAGTATGAAAACTGGTTTTCATGCTCTTTTAAGTAATTTATTTAATTCAGTGTTAGCCTTTGAACGGAATCAGCAAATCCCACCAGACAGAACTCATACACACACTGACCCCAGGTAGGCCACCCCAGTCCCCCAGGGAAGGGAAATGGTGGTGCTTTGCTTTGCACACTCTTAAGGCTCTTTTTTCCTGGCTGATTTCCAATCAGAGGTGTCCAAGTAAAACTCGCCTTTCCTATCAGTACACACATACCAGTCTCTCTCTGGTGTTTAACCTAGTGGACTGAGTAAAAGAGCAGCCAGGAAATCATATCCATTAACGCATGTGGCTAAGGCCTATATACATCCTTTTCAGTCATATTTAGGGGAAATTAATTTTTAAACAGGCAGTAAGAGAAGAGTTACACCATTTTAAAGTCCCAAAAATAGATCTAGACATGATTTTAGGACAGAAAATGAAGTCACAGGGCTTGAATTACCACATAGCTCTATACTTCATAGGGTGCCTTGTTGTTTTAGCACAAAAAACTCCTGGGTGTCTGATAAACTCAAGTCTAGCAGCATTCCCAAGGAAGCCTCCCAGCCAGGGGACAATGAGGAGAATGAGGAAGGGTGAAGATGAGCCCCAAAGTGCCACAAACTGCATTCCCCCTTCTCTTCCTGAGCCCAGCTAGAATTGAATGGATAAAAAGTTTCATTGTGGCCAGCCATGGTGGCTCATACCTGTAATCCTAGCTACTCAGGAGGAGGAAATCAGGAGGATGATGGCTTGAGGTTTGTGAGATTCCACCTCAATCAATAAGAGCTGGGTATAGTGGTACATATCTGTCATCCCAGCTACATGGGAAGAATAAATAGGAAGATCGAGTTCTAGGCTGGCCTGGACATAAATGAGAGACCCTATTTGAAAAATACCTAAAGCAAAAAGGGCTAGGAGTGTGGCTCAAGAGCACCTGCCCACTCCTCTGCCCCAATCCAGCCTGGCTTTCAGACATTGCTGCAAAAAGGAAGTTAGCACAGGCGAGCACAGCAGCAAAGAAGGAAATGATGAATATGGGAATAGACTGGTCCTTGCTGGTGTGGGTTATTTAGAGACCCTTATTGAAGTAGACATAAGGTATATTTTCTCCATACTTGGTCTTGATTGTGTCTTGGAGCTCTGGTTCCAGATAGTGAACTGGCAATTTACTGAAAACAGAGTAAAAGGGGGTTATAAGCATGTCACCCAGAACAAGTGGCAAATTGCCCTCAGGAAACATCCAACCCAAATGTCACCTCCAAGAAGCCCTTCCTGATTTTTCTAGCCAAAATTATTTTGGTTACAATGTATTTGTATGCTACAATGTTGCTTTTACCTCTACTTCATTCTCCCTGGGCTGTTCTTTGTTTAAACTACCATCTTCTCCACAGCATTATAAACACAATGGTCAGGACACAGGGAGTGTCTAGCAGATGACCACAGGATGAGAGTACTGAGGAAGGGGAGACAGCACCTTCTCCATATACTCTCAAGCTAGTCCTGTCTCCCAGAGCCAGTCACTACCCCTCCCACACACAGTCTGATCCCTTCTCTTTCCCACCATCCCTTCTCCCTTCTAGTACACGCAAAGGAAAGTACAGAAGTCCAAGTCAGTGCAGAGGTCCAAATATGAGCCAGAATAAGCACCTTATTCAATTTTAAACACCAGATCCAGAAGTCTTTGCTCCCATTTCTTTGGTGGGGAACAGGAAATGCTCCTCTCTCTCTTTTCTCCCTGTTCCTCTCCTAATAAACTTTACTGTTACTTTTATAAAAAAAAAAAAAAAAACCAGATCCTGCCAGGGAAGTTCCTCCTAATAACCCAGCCAGCAGGAAAGAAAGTCTCTTATCCCTCACCATCTAAGTCAGCCCTTGCTCCACTGGGTGGGAACAACCTCACTCTTCCTCCTGCTTTCTCCCTCCCTTGGAGATCTGGCTGGTTTGCCATTCACCAGGTGTTAAGATGGCCAGAGTTTAAGCTGATAGGCACTTGTCCTTGGAAAATGGTGCCTTCCTGTCTTGTCCCTCTTCCCTGGATGAAGAGGAAGGGAGCAAAGGCAGGGTGTCCAATAAAACAAAGTAAGCAGCAAACAGCCAATACCATTCCTGTGGGAAGAGTCCACATGCCACTGGCACCATGAAGAGGAGGCTGGAAGAGAGGAGAAACCAAAATGTTAGTGGTCATCTCCCTGCAGCGCCGCCCGCACTCCATCCCTAAGTCCTAGAAGGAAGGGGAAGATGCCCACACACCTGGCCTGCCTTCCCAGATGGCCCCACAGTCCTCTCCCTCCACTCTTCTCTGTCCTCTGAGTATCAAGAAATTCATCTTGGTGTCTCATCTCAGTGCCTCTCCATCCCTCACCCCAGCCCTAACCCCACACTCATGTTTAAGCAGATAAGGAAAACAATAAAATGACTGGGGAAAGAAAGGAGTGGACCATGAGACCACAAGCAACCATGTCAAGTAGCCATGTCTTGTCATTAGTCTGCTGACCTGGCAAAGCATGATTAATGCTAGGATTACATCTGGGCAATGGCAAGCTCCTAAGAATGCTGACATGAACCTGAGTGCTGGTGGCTCACATCTGTGATCCTAGCTCCCCAGGAGGCAGAGATCAGGAGGATCAAGGTTCAAAGCCAGCAGGGGCAAATAATTCATTAGACCCTATCTTGAAAAATCCTATCACAAAGAAGGGTTGGTGGAGTGCCTCGAAGTATAGGTCCTGAGTTCAAACCCCAGTACCACAAAAAAAAAAAAAAATGCTGTATCATTTTCTTCCTGCATGAGGCTGGGACACCTGACAGTCCCAAGCAAAATTGTCATCATTCTTATATCTCTTCTCTAAAACTGCTACAGACTTGAGGTCAGAGGGGAGACCCTGGGAAACATCACACCTTCCATTCAGAACTGTGCACAGAACCTAGTCGTCATCCCACTGACCTCCAAAAGAATTAAGTGAAAGCTTTCCAGGTGGACTACAGGTATCCTGAGCTTAGCTTAGCCACTTCTCTCTCTCTCTCTCTCTCTCTCTCTCTCTCTCCCTTCTTTCCTTTTTTTTTTAAGACAAGGTCTTGCTACATAGCCCAGGCTAGCCTTGAACACAGATGCTCCTGCCTCAACCTCCCAAGTGCTAAGATTACAGGCGTGCACCACCATGCTCAGTCAGAAAAAGGAGCACATGCTCTCTGATACAGGCTACACAAGAAGACTGGTCTTAGGTACCCCAGCCACTACAGAACCCAAACCATCAAAATACCATACTCACAAGCACCCAGACAGCATAACTTGCAATGGGGCATGCAACACCTTGACTTTCTGCACAAAAAAAAAATAAAAGAAAAGCCCACTTGGGACTTAAATACCTTAAGGTGGACTCCATGCCTGCCCTACCAGGGATCAGTCAGCTAGAAGAAGCCTGAGACCAGGACCTGCTGACCCTGAAGGAGAGATGGGGTATTCTCCTGGCTGTCTGCAGACAATACCAGGAAACTGGCTCTGATGATTAAAATGAGAGGCCAGTGGGGACTATAGAAGTTCTACTTGAGTGAATGATGGAGTGGTGGATAGAGGGGAGGAGGGAAGTATCAGGAGACCCAGGCAGTGTGGCTGGAGGACTCTAGGAAGGGAAGATACCAGAGAACCCTTCTCACCCTCATGAAATGCAGTTTCTCCAGCCTTTCCATGATGACAGGCAACAAGACTGGAAGAGAACAAGGAGAAGCTGAGGGGAGGGCTAGAAGACTCCCCAAAATGCCCTTCTGCAGTCAGAGAGGCTTTGGAAGCTTTGGAAAATACTTGACACTGGGGAGAAGAACGGAGACTGTGTAGGAATGGCCACTCCCGACCTCTCTCCCCCGAGTCCCAGAGAAAACATGCTTCCCAAACTTCTCAATGTACATACCTGTAACAAGAGGAGAACCTGTATCACTAAGCCCAAAGTAGCCCTCTCAAAATTAAAAACTTTCTTTGAAGGCTCATGCAAACAAATTTTATATCCTACTGTGTAATATTTCCCTAATGGAAGCAAACCATGGAAGGGAATTTATTTCTACTACTGTTTCCTTGTACCCTACACTGCCCAGCACAATAAGCACTGGTGCTTAATTAGTATTAGTTGAATAAAAATAACTCCACCCCCCTCCAACAGCTCTGATGAAACAATGTTCAAGGAATGTGTGTGATCTCCTGGGCTTTTAGCACTCACACAAACCAGTTGGAGAAGCATAGCTATAAGAGGTTGATATCCCACCTCCCACCTGAAAGCTGAATGTAGTTGAGGGTTCTGCCATGTATTCTAAGATCCCCAGGATGAAAGGGGTTCCCCATCTTACTCATGCCAGGAGCTGCCATGGTGATCCGAGAAATAACCACTTGAGTGATGCCTATAGCCGCAGCTCTCTAAGGGCAAAAAGATTAAGTAGTCAGGAATGACCTATCCAGTACACACATGGGCTGCATTGCAGGTCAGGTTATGGACAAGTCTGAGCTGGCTTTAGAAGTAGAAATGAAGACAGGCACTCACACCTGTAAATCCTAGCTCCTCAAGAGTCAGAGATCAGGAGAATCATGGTTCAAAGCGTGCCTGAGTAAATAGTTCGTCAGACCCTATCTCAAAAAAACCCTTCATAAAAAAGGGCTGGTGGAGTGGCTCAAGGTGTAGGCCCCGAGTTCAAACCTAGTACCCCAAAAGAAAAAAAAAAAAGAACTAGAAATGGCAGAGGAAGGGCATAAGAGGTCTGTTCTGAACAAAGAAACCTAGGGAAAATTTAGTAGGGAATGAGGATGGAGCCAGGGACAAGCCATCTCACTCCTATAATGGCAGGCACCCAGGCCTGCTCTGACCACTAAGGAGGGAACAGGACCTAAGAGTAGAATTCCTTCCTCCCATCCCAAGGGATGTCTTGCTCACCTGGGAATGGCCAAGCTCATTCTGATTCCCGTCCTTCACGCAGACGCCCTGGATGAGTTCCCTAAACATAAACAGGAATTGCTGGACTTGAGAAAGAGGTGTTGGGAGCCTGCCAGGCATGTGACACACCAGGGGATCAAGGGCACTCAAGCTCTAGGAAACCCCTCCTGCACCTGGCCCTTCTGCACTCCAGAGAATGGTATCTCAGAATGATCTAGAGCAGTGGCTGAGAGTGAGCCTTAGGCTTATACCACCTCAGCTGACTCCTGAAACTGCAGAGTATGTGTGTGACCTACAACATGATCCTTAATCCTTCTAAAACCTCAGTTCTCATCTGCAAAAATGGGGCTAATCCTGGCACCCACTTCAAGGAATATGGTGAAGATTAAATGAGGTAATGCCTGTCAAGTGCTTAGTTCAGCACCTGACAGAGTGACCACTTTGTCACTCTGACTGTTCTTCTAGGGCCAGCTCTTGACAGCACTCACTCAACCTGGGACCAGGTAGTTTGCTCCACTCATTCATCTGCTGGGAACAAGTGGATGGGGGAAGGACAGAAGAGAGAAGCAATGTGTATGCATGACCTTCTTGTGTTCTTTCTACAAGGACCACTGTGGCAAATCTCCATTTGCTAATAATCCCAAGAAAACATGGCTTGTGGATACTGACAATGATGACAATGGTACCAATAATAGCCGATGCTTATGCAGCATTTGTTATGTCCCAGTGGTGTTTGGAGTGCTTCACGTGTATTGCATCTTCAAAACCTTAAAGCAGGGGATCATCTATGTGCTCTCTATTCAAAAGACAAAAACTGACCATTTAAAAAAACAAAAAATGAAACAAAAAATAATAAGCAAAATTGAATTTAAAACAAAAGAAAGAAAAACTGGACTGGGAGTGTAGCTCAGTGGCAGAGCACTTGCCTAGCATATAAAAGGCCCTCGGTTTGATTCCCCAACACCAGGGAAAAAAAAAAAGAAGAAGGAAGGAAGGGAGGAAAGGAAGGAGGGAGGGAAGGAGGAAAGAAAACTCGTGAGATCTACTGAGTTTCTCTTTTACCTTTTATACTGAAAAGTTGAGAGGCGGTTGCCTGGAAAACATTTATCTATTCCTCTTCTTTCTTTCTTTTGGCAGCTCTGGGGTTTGAACTCAGGGTCTCATGCTTGCTAGGCAGGCACTTTACCACTTGAGCCCCTCTGGCTTCTTACAAAGCTTCTTGGTTCTGCTCTATCTTTAGGTGTCTCGCTCTGCTAACATGACATTGGGTAAGCCATTCCCAGGGTTTTGGAAGACAGAGTTCATGACTCTAACACCATTTCAACCAGAAAGACAGGATGCAGTATAAAACCCCAGAGATTCATTCTCTCTCCCCGCCACCACATAATAAAAGCCTCCCACAACACTCAACACACTGACTAACCCTACCTGCCAATCCTAGGACTAACACTCCAGGGGCAGCCAGTCAAGGACTTCACAGACTCAGCCCTTGGCCCTCTCCTCACCAGCTCAGCCCTACGAAGCCCCCATTGCCTTGTTTCCCCATAGCCTTGTGGTGCAGATGTAGAAAAGGGCTCCCTGTACTCACTGCTGTCGCATCATTGGGATATTGACACAGTTAGCTGCAGCCACAGCGGCAAAGGGCACCCAGCGGCCCACCAAGGGTGGAGCTCTCTGTTGAGGGCAGGGAACAATGGGAGTTGTTTAAGCTCATGGGAGGATGGGAGTGGAGGGGAGGGGAATTCAGGATTATAAAGAAAGAAAGACAATTAAACCTTGCTACTGCCACAACTCCAGACACCCAGTCTGTGACCCCAAATTCCTGCAAAGCCAGGGAAAACCAACCTGGGACAGCCCTGATGTCTTCCCTAGGACTTTGCTGCCCCCTGGTGGCCACTGTGCTCAAGGCGGCCCAACCTTACCTTTGTCCACATGTTCATGCCCACAGCAGTGGCTACAGCAGTAGTAGTAGCTGTGAAGTAAGAGAGGGCCATCTGCCTAATGGAGGAGGGAAATGACAGGTGTTGGGAGTGGGGACCCTGATGGCTGAGGCCAGGCCAGGGACTCAAGTGAGGCTTCACATCTCATGTGATCTGTCCCCAACCTCATCTCATGGCCCTTTGCCTCCTCATCGCTCTCAATGCCCTGGCTTCCTTGGCCTTCTTTCAGTATTTTAAACACATCAAATTCTTTCCTGCTGCTACTCCCTGTCTGGTTAATTCTTCCTGCAGCTGACTCTTTATCCTTCGGAACTCAGCTGGAATGTCAACTCTACAAAGAGGACCTCCTGACCAGCCTATTTACATGGACACCCCTTTGCTGTTCATTGCCTTGTTACCCACCTTGTTTATGTTCTTTATGGTAGCAATCCCAATTTTTGAGACTTTTTTTTTTTTGGAGACAAGGTCTTTCTATGTAGCCCAGATTTACTAGGCAGTCCAGGCTGGCCTTGAACTTGTAACCCTCCCGCCTGAGCCTTTGAGAGAGCTGGAATTACAGGTGTGCATCACCACACATGACTTGTGCTTGTCTTCTTGAAAGGCTTTAAACTCCACTAAAACAGGAACTACAATGCCTTAATTTACCAAGATATCTCCATGTCCTAGAACCCAGACTGATACATAAGACAAATTTGCCAGGTGAATGAATGAACACATTTTGAGTTGGTCTAGGAAGAAGACGCTCTCCTAGTCATCTGAGGAAATACTTCCAAACCCTAGAAAAGAGTGACTTGGCCACCTGCCCAGTCTGGATCCCACCTAGGGAGGAGTGATAGCCCAGAGACACTTTGGAAGGGTTATTCTTGGGGAAGCAAGAGGACAGCCTGGGGTTCAGGCCTCCTACCTGACTGATGTGGGGGAAGCTGCATTCCTGTTGGTATAGTTGACTAAGGCATTGAAGGATTGGTTCACCCACTGCCAGAAGACCACCGCCGGCATAGTCCTACCAGGAAGGGAGGCCAGGAGAGGTAGAGAGGATAGGAGGAACAGCATGGATACACCAGGTACCACATCACCTGCAGTTCCCTAGGCTGTTCCCATTCTGTTTTATGTACCCAGGCTTTTGCACAGATGGGGCCCTCTTCCTGGAATATCCACCATCCTCCTTCCATACACAGCAAAATCCTGCTCTGTTGAGACATCATTTCCTCCTTGGAACCTTCCTGACCTTTCTCTGCCCCTCCTAAGTCAGTCATCCCACACGCCCTGCTCCCACAACCCCAAATTCTTCCCCAAACCTACAACTTACCAAGCAGCACTCCATTTATGTGTTGGCGTTCTCAACAAACCTCCCTGAGGGAAAGTCTTTATATCCCTAGCACCTGGCCCAAGACCTAGCTCAATAACTGAACAGATGAATGCATGGGGTGGGAAAAGGCAGAAGAGGAAAAGCGGGGATCAGGGAAGGAGGAGGAGGAAGGAAGAAGAGTCACACATCCACCAGCCACCAAGAAAGCTTATTTCCTCCCCGAGCCAAGAGAAAGGATCTTTTCTTTTTTAAATTTTGGTGTTACATTAGAAAAATAAATTCATTGTGGAGTATTTTTCTTTCTTTTTTTTTTTTTGTTATTTTTACATTTTTTTTAAATGGGACTGGGGTTTGAACTCAGAGTTTCATGTTTGCAAAGCCACATCTCCAGTCAATCATTTTGTTATTTTTGATGAAATTGTGAGTGGAATTCTTTTTTTTAAATTTTTTTATTATTCATATGTGCATACAATGCTTGGGTCATTTCTCCCCCCTGCCCCCACCCCCTCCCTTTACTACCCACCCCGCCCCCTCCCTCTCCCCCCCACCCCCTCAATACCCGGCAGAGACTATTTTGCCCTTATCTCTAATTTTGTTGTAGAGAGAGTATAAGCAGTAATAGGAAGGAACAAGGGTTTTTGCTAGTTGAGATAAGGATAGCCAAACAGGGAGTTGACTCACATTAATTTCCTGTGCGTGGGTGTTACCTTCTAGGTTAATTCTTTTTGATCTAACCTTTTCTCTAGTTCCTGGTCCCCTTTTCCTATTGGCCTCAGTTGCTTTTAAGGTATCTGCTTTAGTTTCTCTGCATTGAGGACAACAAATGCTAACTAATTTTTTTAGGTGTCTTACCTATCCTCATATTTACCTTGTGTGCTCTTGCTTTTATCTTGTGATCAAAGTTCAATCCCCTTGTTGTGTTTGCCCTTGATCTAATGTCTGCATATGAGGGAGAACATACGATTTTTGGTCTTTTGGGCCAGGCTAACCTCACTCAGAATGATGTTTGGAGTAAGTATTTTTCAAAGAAGAACTTAGGATAGCATATTTGTTGAGTTCTAGAGAGGGCTGCTTCCATTAAGATCCAGGCACCCACAAACTTAGGTGTGCTGACTACATGAACTTGGATGTGTTACTTAGCCTCTCTAGAGCTCCATGTATCAAATAGAAAGATATCAGTACCGCTTATTATAGGGCTCTTGAGAGCGTTAAATGAGGCAACACATGCAAAGAACTCAGCGGAGTGCCCAGGCTCTGGTAAGTGACTAGCAGAAGGGACTGTTACTATAGGTTGACTCCCTGCCTGGAAGACCCGGGCAGCTGCGCATCCTGCTGTCTTGTCCCCAAGGCCCACCTGTAGAACTGGAGCATGAAGCCAGTGATAATCATGCCACCAGGGACCTGGAAGGACATCCGTCCAATGACATTCATCTTCTCTCCAGTGTCAGGATGGAAGGCTGAGTCATACAGCTTCTTGGCATACAGTAGCTGCTCCGCTTTGGTGCCTCGGGGCATGAGCCCCATCCTGTCACCCAAGGACAACAGGCAGTTGCCACCCAGCCTTAGCCACGTCACATCTCCCAGTCTCCCCGCTCTCTTTTCTCCCTCCTTCCAAAGTCCTTCAAGAGACTGCTACCTACTCCTTCATGCGAAGGCCTCTCGCTCACTCCCTTGACCACTCACCTGCTCTTCTCCACCATGGCCTTGGCCCAGTCCAGCTCTTGCTCTGATACAAATACAGTGCGGGGATCTGTGACGTTAAAGAAGTGCTTCACCCGCCCAAGGAAAGTGCTCTGGTCCCACTGAGGAGCATCGATGTTAAAGCCAGACAGGTCAGCTTCCATCTTGCTTACTCATAAAACTGTGGACCTGAGAAACAGAGGGAGAATGAGGATTGTCCCCCAACCCAAAGCCTGCCCCAGAGGCCCTGAACACATCCACCATCATAGACAAACTCACCAGCTCCTGATCATTCTCTGATTTGGCCAGGGTGACCCCTGTGAAAGGACACTGGGTGCCAACATGCATTTCCTGGGAGCCTGCTGGTGACTGGCCCTATGCTTGCTCTATAGAAAGGACTGGACAAAGGGATAAGGCAATGCTTGTCCCTGGGGAGCCTGACTAGTGCCCACCCGTGAAATAACATATAAGATTCCTAATGTTTCTGGTAGGGAAGTGGGAAAAGAAGCCATTTTGAAATAGGAACATTCTGATCTTCTTCCACAGGCCTGCCCTCAGGGAAACTCTTCTTTGCCAGAGTCAAACCACCTTGGGGGCGAGGAACTCTAGCCCCCTGGAGCCTTTCTGCCTCACCTCAAGGAATGAGGTGGAGACTAAGAAGCAGCTGTGAAGGCCAAGGGGGCCAGGCCTGAAAGACTGAGAGCAGATGCTTCCCCTCCCCCACCTAACCACTGCTTCTGTAGGGCTCTTGTGTAACAACAAGAGGTTCCAACAGAGAGATTGCAAGTTTCACAGCTTATTCAAGAAGTCTCTATGGGCTCTGGGGAGGCTTAATGGTAGAACAAGGCTCTGCATTCAATGAAGAAGAAGAAAGAAGGAAAGGAAGTGGAGGAGGAGGACAAGAAGGAAGAATGAGGAGGAAGAGGAAGAGAAGAAGTAGAAAAGATGATGCTGGGCACCCTACATGGAATCCTAGCTACTTGGGAGGCTGAGATCAAGCAAATAGTTCATAAGACCCCATCCTCAAAATAACCAGAGCAAAGTGGACTGGAGCTGTAGCTCAGGCAGGAATGCTTTGCAGCATAAAGCTCCGAGTTCAAACCCCAGTACCACCAAAAAAATAAAACCAAAAAACATAAGGCCCTGAGTTCAAACCCTAGTACTGGCAAGAAAGAGAGAGAGAGATAGAACAGTGAGTTTGATTTTTCCATGTGTTGTTTCAAGTGCCATGGACCTGCAATAGACTGCCACCCCCCCGTCTTGGTCCTTTCCAGATGCCTCCCTGTTGGTATAGCTAGGATCTGGAATGTACCCTCAAAGGTCTATGTATTAAAGGCTTGGTCCTCAGCTTGGCACTATTGGAAGATGGTAGAAACCTTTGAGAGGCAGGCATAATGATAGGCCTTAGGTCATTGGGGGTATGGCCTTGAAGGATCTTTCTCTCTCTCTCTCTCTCTCTCTCTCTCTCTCTCTGTCTCTCATTGCTTCCCAACCACCTCCACCAGGCTCTCCCCATCATGATGTATTGCAATCACAGACCCAAAAGCAATAGGGCCAGCTAGCAAAAGACTGAAACTTCTAAAACTGTGAATCAAATAAACCTTTCATCTTTTTAAGTTGATTATCACAAGCATTTTGCTACAATCACACAAAGTTGACTAACACACCTGTGCAGAATGTTGTTTCCTACCTTTTCTACTAAGTAACAGCTGTTCATTCTTTTATTTTTTTTTTTTAGGAATAATTTCAAATTTACTTGTATACCTTCTACTACCAGGACATTTGTCCTTTTTCTTGAAAATATCACTTTGACTAAAACATTCACCTGTGATGTCAGAGGGCGTATTCATTCTCCTTACCACTGTCACCCTGATGCCTACCTAGCACAAGTACAATAGCTCCTGAAGGAAAGGTCCTGATTGACTCAGGTGGGTGTTCAGGCTGGAAAGAAAAGCACAGAAGTCAAGACTACAAGTAAAAACCTGAGTCTGCAGCACTGAGGTCGTTTAAGCTAAAGTCTTCCAGTGAGAATACACAGAAATGGAAAGGAGAGAGAGCTGAGGACAAACTCTGATAGACAGCTACATTTAAGAAGCAAACTAAGAAAGGGAAGGCTCAAAAGATAGGCAAGAACATCAGAGACAGGTGGGAGGAACTGTCAAATGGGGAAAGGAGAGTAGTGGTCAATTTTAGATTTTTTGTTAGAGTGGAAGAGACTTCGGGAGGTTGATATGCAGGGAGACAGTCATTTCTAAGAGGAAAGAAAGGAGAGATCCAATGTGTACCCTTGTCCAGCTAATATAGCAGTCTCTGGGGAAGACACAAGCAAGCAACAAGCATTCACTGCTTAACTCTGACTTCAGCAGCTCTGGTTCCACTTGGCCGCCTACAGGCTGGTTCAAAGACCAAAGGCATTGCCCTCAGTCCCAACTGAGCACAGAGTGGGGAGTGGCAAGAGTTCACTTTTCAGACTCTACAAGAAGCTTAAAGGTGTCTGGCTGCCCAGTTGATTACACTGTGCCTTGACTTACAAAGCCTCAGGTTCACAGTCACTAGAGACAGCCAGACCGAGCAAAATGCTATGCCTTTCCCTTAACACCATGCCCAGGTGTACACACACACACACACACACACACACACACACAGAGGTAAACACACAGGCACACATGCATACATGGCCAACCTTCTCTGACATTTCTCTCCACCCTCAACTCACCATTGCAAAGTCCACTGCCCCTCATAATGGGGTAACCACCTACTAAATTATGGAAGAACTGGGGTTTGAATTCAGGGCTTTGTGCTTGCAAGGCAGGCACTCTACTGCTTGAGCCACACCTCCAGTCCTGGACCTTTGCCTTTTTAACTGAGGTCAGGACAGAAACTGCACAGTCCTTGCTTCATATAAACCATAAAGATCCCCAAACATTACATTATCTTTCCAGAGCATTTCCTTCCAAGGACACAGTTCTCTGACTCCTTCAGGGCACTCAGGTCCTTCTGTTATATACCCCTACAGCATCCTGTCCTTCTTTGCAGCATGCTAGCTTTTGAAATTGTCACTTTCTTGTCACTTACAGTTTCTGTGTAAAGTCTGTCTCCTCTGACAGACTGTAAGGTTCATTTGATCATGGACACAGCTGCATTGCTCCTATGCTCTCTAAAAATATTTACTTCCTCCCTGAAATTCATTCCAATTTATTCTTAGGTTCTCTTGTCATCAAGGATGTCATCTCTTTTGAATCAAACTCAGAACCTGCATTGGTTACAGAAGATCAGGCTTTCATGAAATTGCAAACTGTCATCCCCACCTATACAACCCATCTATATCATGGTCTGTAAATCTTCTCCATAGTCATTCTTCCTCCTCCCATACAATGCATACCTATTCTTCCCTAGAAAGGTCACCATCATGTCCATGGTGGCCCTACTTCTGAAGGCTTATGATTCCACTACTAGGAATAAGGTGAGAGGTGGAAATCAAACAGGTGACTGACCAACTGATGCCTCCCTTCTAGGATTAGAGGATGTCAAAGTTCAAAGACATTAGGGACCCAAGATCTCAGTTTACTAAAGCCTAGAAGGTTCACACTGGCTGAATAGCACAGTGAGCATTTATGGCACACATGGCCCTGTACAAAGCACTTGTGGCAGATATAAAGGTGAACAATAAACAGATGCAGTCCTCAAAGATCCAACAATAGCAGGACCTCATTCTCCCAAAGCCACAAGGCTCTAAGTGACTCTAGATACATCCTCTACCCACAATGACCTATTTGTTTTCTCTTTTAAAAAAGAAAAAGAAAAAGAACAGGCCTGTATCCAAGCACTTAGAAGGCAGAATCCTGCCAGGTTTGAGACCAGCCTGGACAAGACACTGTGAAAAAAATGAATGCTGAGGGCGGGAAGTGTGGCTGAAGCAACAGAACATCTGCCTAGCAAGTGCAAAGCCCTGAATTCAAACCTCAGTACTAGGGTACGGGGGAGGGGGGAAAAGAAAGAGCAAGAGAAAGAAGGAAAAGGCTGGCACTGGTGGCTCACACCTGTAACCCTAGCTAATTGGGAGACTAAATCAAGAGGATTACTGTTAGAGGCCAGCCCAGGCAAATAGTTCATGAGACCCCCCCCATCTCCAAAATAATCAGAGCAAAATGGACAGGTGGTGTAACTCAAATGGTAGAGCACCTGCTTTGCAAGTGCAAAGCCCTGAGTTCAAACCCTAACAAAAAAACCCATAGGCTGCAGTGGCTTATATCTGTAATCCCAACTATTTGGGAGGTGGAGACAGGGGGGATCTCTATTCAAGGACAGCACTGACAAAAAGTTAGCAAGATACCATTTCAAACAATAAACTGGGTATGGTGGCATGCATCTGCTATTCCAGCTATGCAGTGAAGTGTCAATAGCAGAATCATGGTCCAGGCTTCCAGGGTGCAAATGTGAAACCCTCCCTCAAAAATAACTAAATCAGGGCTGGAGATGTGGCTTAATCTATAGAGTACCTGCCTAGCAAGTACAAAGTCCTGAGTGCAAACCCCAGTACTGCCAAGGGCAAAAAATTAGCAGGTTATCTCAACAAATAGCTGGGTATCCCAGCTATCCAGGCAGCCTTGTTGGAAGATCATGGTTTGAGGCAAGCCTCAGGCAAAAACTGGAGACACTTCATGGTGGGGAATAACAAGCAAAAAAGGCTGGGAGTGTGGCTCAAGTGGTATGCCTAGCAAATGGGAGGCTTTGAGTTCAAACCCCAGTACCACCCAAATTTTTTTAAAAAGAGGGAGTGAGCTGGGCACTGGTGGCTCATGCCTGTAATCCTAGCAACTCAGGAGGCAGAGATCAGGAGGATCGGTTCAAAGCCAGCCCCCGGCAAATAGTTCACGAGACCCTATCTTGAAAAAACCCATTACAACAATAGGGCCTGTAGAGTGGCTCAAGGTGAAAGCCTTGAGTTCAAGCGCTGAGTTCAAGCCCCAGTACCACAAAAAAAAACAAAAGGTGGGGGGGAGTGAATGAGAAAGGAGAGAGCTCTGGATATAGCTCAAGTGATACAACACTTATCTAACAAGCTTGAGGCCCTGGGTTCAATCCCCAGTACTGCAAAAAGAAAAAAAAAATTTAAATTAAAAAAAAAAAAGAAAGAAAAAGGAGAGGAAAAAAGAGTACACTTCCCCCAAAGTAACATTTATCCTTTCTAGAGAAAGCTGAGAATAGTCTCAAACAGTATCAGTGCTCAGAGAACAGGGGCATAGCTCAGTGGTAGAATGCTCGCCTAGCATAAGCCTAGACTCTGACTCAATCCTCAGCACTAGCAAAGGGAAAAAAAAAAGCTAAGGGTACAGGATTCCAAACCTCTCCTGAAGTATCTTCTTATAAGGAGAGAAAGTACTCAGATTTCCCTGTTTGTAGCCCCAGGTAAGGGAGAAAAATCAGATCATCATCATTGGTACTCACATCAGAAGGAAATCAAGGCAGCTTAAGATTCGAGAAGAACTAAGGGCAGATTCACATCAAGGTTGCCTACAGCAAGTTGGGGAATGAGAGAAATAATTAAACCAGCAGCCCAGGTCCATGCTTATGGATACTCCTCTGACTCCAAGGCAACTGTGAAAGAGACAACTAGAAAGAGAAACCCGCTTTGTCATTTCCACAAAAGAGCCAACAATCTGGAGAAGGCAGATTACAGGGGTGCTCACTCTAAACACTCACTTTGCACCCCTTTAGTCAAGGTTCTGAACTGAGTTTTCTCTCCAAGGATCCAATGCAGGTATGTGAATAACAGGATTTTTTTTTTAATAATTTAGTTGAATGCATAAATGGCTAAAGACCATTCAGGGAAAATCAGCCTGCTGGTAGTGGAAGGAGGTGAATCCCAAAAATCTAGATGAAACTATTAATAATATCAAGCACTTCCTTTGTGGCAAGCAATGCTCTATGCACTTATAGGGCCTAGTAAGGTAGGTAACAGGCACACATGATCGGCAAACTTCCAGGTGTATCATCTGTACCCAGACTTTATTCAGCTTAAAAAAGTCTTGTTTTACATCACAAATATAAACCACTCTCCAGCTGGAGACGGAGGTCAGTGGTAGAGCACTTGCCTACCATGCCCAAAGCCCCGGGTTCTAGCACCTGCACTGTGCAGGGAAACACAACCCACTCTGTTTCTCCTACCTGGACAACAATGTTTATGAGCAATACCATAAACAGTGTTTACATGTCGGTTCAAGTCCCAGTGCTACTGTCTGCAAAAACCAATTTCCAGGGCTGTGAGAATGAAATGAAATCTTGTATGAAAAGCATTTCACTAGGAAGGATGTCCTTTCTAGGAAAGCAGATTGTATCTGCTGTGTCTAGAACCTGGCCTGGCACATTTGCAAAGGCTAACTCTTCCTACAGTCCTCTACAGGTGAAAGGGGGTGCGAAGTAGCACCTCCGGGTCAGATGTAGCTTAGCAAAATCCAGCTGATCCCCAAACGCCTTTCACTCTTGCTGTCATCTTACCTCAGGGCTCAGGGCTTAGCCCACTCCTACAACCTCCCCACAAACAGGACCTCGCCCCCACCATCCAGGATTCAATTAGGGCTGTAGAGATGGGTGCGTAGACCATAATACCCCCGCCCCAAAACCTGGCACTAAAAGGGAACAGGGATCTGTGGGGACGGATCCCTGGGCAGCTCTAGTCCACGTGGCTTTTTGCAAGTGGCAGGGCAGTCCAGGCTGCGCTGCGCTGCAACCCCGCCTGGACAGAGTCAGGACAGATTCAAGCTCCCTCCGGGGATATGGAGATTGGAGGTAGATGTGCCAATTGACCACCTCTCGAGGTCCCTTACCTGGTCCCAGGAGGCATGCACAGAGACAACTCCCACCAAATGCAGTCCGCCTTGGAAACCTGGACTAGATGGGAACGCCCCCTTGCCCGCCCCCACGACTCTCTTTCCTGACCAATCACAGGCAGGGAGGCTCCCGCCAGCCACGTGGGCGAGTTTTCAGCATTCCCTGGGTCTCTTGCAAGCGAGCCCCGCCTCCCGCCGCTCCAGGAGCCCGCCTGCGCAGAAGGAGGACACCTTGGCGCGCTTGCGCACTTTAGCGAAAGCGGCGCTGGACCCCGCCCCATACCGCTGCTTTGCTCCTCTGCTGTGCGTGCGAGGGACGTCGGGGGCGGCGCCGGAGCAGTTGCCCCTGGTAACGGGGAGTCAGGAGGAGGAGGCGGAGGAGGCGGAGGAGGAGGAGGGACTCGGCGGGAGGATGGTGAGTGTGGGGGGCCCCGGCCCCTCTGGAGTCGGCCAGTCACCCCCCCCATCCTGTCCCCAGGCCCAGGGCGGGGCACTGCGCTTAAAGCCGAGGAGGGAATGGGATGGCGTTCAGCTTGGTTCAGATTGGCTTTGGGGTCGGCAGGGAGCCCCGAAGGTGGGCCCTGGTGGGAGGCCTGGGCCTGGCGAGGAAGGCGGGGCTTGCGATGGATCCGAGGCTCCGGAAGGGACCAGCAGATGCTTGGTGACCGGGTACGGAGTTTGGGCTCCGTCATTACTCTGGGTGCAGGGATGAGCTTGGATTCGAGGAGCTACGGGGAGCAGTCTCAGCACGCAGGCAGGTTTTCATGGGGAAATCGACCTCCCTGCTCCCCAGGACAGGGGAGGGGGGTCTGCCTGAGGCCAGGCAGAAGTGGGGAGATGGGCCGGCACTGTGGCCTTGGAGATCACCCTGGCGGTACCAGGGGAGATGGTAACCTCGCTCTCCTCTTCCTCGCAAAGTGCGGGTGCCTAGGTGAGGTGGGTAGGGAATAAGTCCCAGGACACAAAAAGGTGCTGCTTGGAAAGGATGCCTGGTGGATTTTACCCCCTCTCAGTGTCTGCGTGGTGGCTGCACTTCCTCAGCCCGCAGTTACTTATTTGCTAAGAGTTCTGCAAGGTCTGGTTGTTGTTGATGACCAGTTTTTATTCCCTACTTAATGCATGTCAATAGGTGCAAATTAACCGCCTGGTATTTGCCCCTAGCATTTCCATCGAAACCTGTTGCAAACCCCTTTTTCATGTGGTCACAATAGGACCAAAGGTCTTAATCCCAGGTAGGGTACCCATATTAAAAAGAATGGAACCTAAAACTTAAGAGAGTGAGCATCAATTTGGGAAAGTCCGTTTCTCTGTCAGCCGTTAATTTAAGCTTTCCCAGTTAATAGTGACAATGTGTGACAGATTTGACCATAGACACTTAGTTTCTTGTTGATTTTTGTGTGGTAGATGGAGGAAGCAAAAATTAAATTGAGGGAAATCGAGATAGCCAAAGAAATATTGATTTTAAAGTATTTAGAGCAGTTTGGTTGGCTGTCTGCAAACAGTTACAGTTACTTCTCCAACTTACCACCTAGTCTCTTTTTGACGTTTAAAAATGTCGAATCATTTCTTGTGACTTGTAAGAAAAAGCTAGATGTCTAAGAGGAAAAAATACATAATATGCCTTTGGTCAGATTATCCAGTGAGTAAATTTTAACTAAAAAATTTCAATTGGTTATACACTGCCATATTGTTAAAGTAGAATTATTTGCTCTGAGGTTGGCAATCACATTTCACATTTGCTACATGTGCAGTTTTTTAACCTCAGGCTATACAGATTTTTACAAGTGTTTTCTTTTTTATTAATCATTTATACATTAACTGTCCATGTAAAGGCTAAGTTTATCTCAGCAAATGAGTACAAATGTAAGTATTTACTCAGAAAATAACTAGAATTGAAATGAAAAAGACATGTCAAATTAACAGAGAATGAGATTTGCCATCATAGATGAGAAATACCAGAGTTGGCTAACTTTTCTCAGTTTGTTGATCAATTAAGTGGACTGTGTAATTTTACGATTGTTTAACTTATAATTATAGGCCACAGTAAATTAACCACTGCTCATGTTTCTAGGTGCAAATTGGCACTGTATAGAATAAATTGACACTATGTACAATACTGTTATATATGACTATTATTTGATGATCAAAACAGATTTTGTTTTTCTTAAAATGAACAATAAGAAATTAGGACAAATTATTCCAGATTCTTTATCTGATTTCCCACATACATTTTTTTTTCTATCTCCAAAAGTATGTACTATTCTTAGAACTGGAAGTGGAACACTGAATTTAAACAGTCAGTGAAGTGATTGTGTCACATCTGATACCCCATCAGCCCCCATGGTTAGCTGTACAACTGAAAAGTGAGCTCCAGGTTTGTGTGTGTGTGTGTGTGTGTGTGTGTGTGTGTGTGTGTGTGTTTTAAACTATAGCTAAGACTGATACTTTTTTTCCCCCAAAATTTGAGTTACTGCAACAAAAACAACAAAAATCTATGTGTTTCCCTGAACATTTAGGATCAGCTATTTGACTCCTACCTTAGGACACCAAGTCCCTGATGAAATACAAAGATGGCAGTAATTTTGGCACATAACTAATCACTGTAATATATAATTCAATTTGGTAATAATTTATGGAGTACTTGCTACATAGAGAGTTTATAGTAATTATTAAGCATGTTTAACATTTGAGAATTGTTCCCAAAAGTGTATATGGTTTTTGTTCAGAAAATAGTCTGTGAAAAATTCAATTAAGAAGAAAGAACTTGTATGCACATATGAATAATAAAAGAAAAATGAAAAAAAAAAAAGAAGAAAGAAAACACAGCCAGGACTTGTGGCACATACCTATATTACCAGGACTCAGGAGGCAGAGGCAAGTTCCAGGCCACCCTGGGCTACGTAATGAGATCCTCTCTCAAAAAAACAAAACAAAACTACTTTTTTTTTTTGAAGGAAGAAACATGGGACTGGAAGGATAGCTCAGTGGTTGAGGGTGTACTCAGCTGGGTTTACTCTCCAGCACCACACAGTTTTTTTCTTTTCTCCTTTTATCATTTTTACATTTACTTACATGTGTATATATTGTTTGTGCCACCTTCCCTCTCCCTCTCCTCCCCTCCAAAAAAAATTTTTGAGTTAAAAAAAAAAAGAGTGTGGTAGCTCACATCTGTAATCCCAGCTACTCAGGAGGTGGACAGGAAGATGGAGGTTCAAGATCATTCAGGGAAAATGTTAGGGAGACCTTATCAACAAATAAGCCGAGTGTGGTGGCTGTTACCAGGGATGCCAGCTACAAGCCATGCAGACAGGAGGATCATGGTAATGTTGACCTGGACAAAAATGAGAAACCCTAGCTGAAAAATAACTAAAGCAAAAAGAGGGCTAGAGGTATGTCTCAAGTGGTAGCTACCTGTCTAGCAAGCACCAGGCCCTGAGTTCAAAAAGAAAGAAAGAAAAAAACCACACAACTAGTTTTGAGTAGCTACTATATATCATTTAACCCTCATAGTGGTTTTGTACTTTTTCATTTTCTGCCTGAAAGTTCCCAGGGTTTCTCAGACAGGGAAGCTGAATACAGTCTGAACTCTATAGGCAATGTTCATCAGACCTCTCCTCAAGTGGAAAGCCACTCTTCTGCAGAGATGCTACATTTTGTTCCTTAGGAAACATTCGTATTTATGTTGTAGAAAGTAATGAGACAGACAAAGCTATAGTTCGGTTTTAAGAGGAAAAAGAATTAAAAGTCAGTTCCATTGAAACTGTTTTGGCTTAGTAGTGTTGTTCAGGTACTGGGGTTTAAACTCAGAGCCTTACGCTTACTAGGCAGGCATTCTACCACTTGAACCAGCCCTCTTTTGTGTTGGGTATTTTTGAGATAGGATCTCACTAACTATTTGCCCATCCTGGCTTCGAACTGAGATCTTCCTGATCTCTGCCTCCTAAGTAGCTAGGGTTACAGGCATGAGCCACCAGCATCTGGCTTTGGCTTAGTAGTTTTAACACTTAAATTTAGCAACTCCTCATGGCCATAAATATTTTTCATATTCCAACCCTTTCCTCTGGCCCTCTACCATTCTGGTTCTTTGAATGACCTAGTACTAGGTCAGCGTGTCATGCCTCTGCCAGCCATGAAGTTTAAACTTGATTTTGAGGCAGATAAAATGTCTGAAAGTTCTATGAATAGTAGTACGTCTATTCATGATTTGCTTATAGAAAAGTTTGTTTAAATGCTTTATGACTGAGTCAGAGCACTTGTGTCCACCAGGGTGCAAATAGCTTGCACACACACAGGTTGAGAATACATACATACAATTATCTATCTGAAACTCTTGTTTCTTAATACAAGAGCTTCAGATAATTCTTTAATGTCATAGGAGTATAAATCCTGCATTGAGATCACGTCTATTGTGCTCAAGGCACATTATAGGTGTTTATAATAATGGAATGAATGGGTATTCGGGTCAAAAAGACACTTTAAAAATTAATTTCATTGTATTTATGCTGTAAAACTCAGTGCAATCACAAATTTAATTTCTAATGGCTGTCTCCTTTCCTATGACATTTAAAATAAAGTGTGGCACATACAGATAGAAGTATAGAATAGACTCATTCTGCTCTTTCATCTAGCCTCTTAAATCAGCTTACTTTGTATCTTTTGGGCAGAACCCTGATACCTATAAATATCCTCTTCCCTGTTTAGAAAACCAGGATAATCCTGTGATCCTCTGTCCTCAGAGGCTGGGTTAATATGATGCTGTATTGCCTTTGCACTTTTCTTCCTGAGGTCATGTTTTAGATGTCATTTATTATTTTGCTGGAAAAAATTAGCTTCCCATTTCTGTGTAATTTCATGTAAAGGTGATACATTTGATGTTACTGTTGCCTAATAAGGCAGATTACTCATGAGAAGTGTAGAAATACTGTATTTTATGCTATTGGAGTCATAAAATGTATCTTTACTTAGAATGATTTCTTTCTGATCTGTGCTTTGCTTCACTCCTTTTCTTTTAAGATGAATAGAAATTATG